CCCCCGAGGCGGCGGTGTCCGCTCACAGTTCCCCCGAGGCGGCAGGGTCCGCTCACAGTTCTCACGAAGCGGCGGAGCCCGCCATTGCCCGTTCCAAGGCGGCAGCTCCACACACACCGCTGTGGTGGCCGCTGGTTCTGCCCTGGGTCCCCATCCCGCCGGCTCTGCCCCAGTCCCCAGGTCCCCCTCTATCACACGGACCTGGGCCCCACATCCCTCCCCCTACTCCACCCCCGCTCTGCCGTCCCCCTGGTGGGGCGCTCTGGAACGTCTGGAAGCCGTTCCTTAGAGGAGGGGTCCTGTCATGAGTCTGGGCCCTGCGTTTCTCCCTCTCTCCTCCAGAGGGCGCCATCTCCCGGACTCCCATTCCCCAAACCCCATACACCTGTTCACTCATTACACTAATTCCCCAAACTCCACACACCTGTTCAGTCACTCACTCATCACACTCACCCTCAGCTGTGCCCCGTTGTCACTGACCATATCTTCACCTCTCACTCACCACTCGGCCTGGTTATATTGTGTAATGAAATGGTGTTCGTCGTCTCTAGACCTGTTTTTGTTTTGCCTTGTTGGCGTTTCTGTTTACATAAAGAAGTTTTCACCTGCATTTGGACCCAGACCCTGTTTACACGGTGTGTTTTCAGTACCGAGCCGTGACAGAATCTTTGTTTACATTAGTTAGTAAAAGTACAACTGTTCATTGTTAGTTCAAATTAGCTCAGGTCCATTAATATCAACAGATATAACTTTTGATTTTATTAATGTGTTAGTAAATGTTGCAATTAACATTAATTAAGATTATTAATTAGTAGTTCATGTTAGCTAATGTAGTGAATGTTAACAAATGGTACCTTATTGTAAAGTATTACTACATTTTATTAATAATAATATATAAATCAGAATATCATCTTGCGGCCCCAAGTTTGTGAGTCCCGGCACCTTGGTTGAGAACAAATGATTTAAATTAATATCCATTTTTATTCTGTACTGTACATTATAATGTTTTGACAACTTAATGCACTTACAATAATTTCCAGAATTGAATATATTCCAAAAAAATACCAACTTTAAATGGTCAAAACCGAAGAATGTACGAATGTAATCTACGAATAGCCTTCCATTGTAACTGCACTGCTGTAAACACATTTTTACTTGTTTTTACAAACGAATGAACGAGTCTAAATGATTGTCTGTGGTAATCGTCAGCAAGCCACATATGCTGTCGATAGAGCTGACCTTATCTTGAACCCAGAACATTCCTTTAACAACCTCAGAAATTCAGATCGATTTTCAAACACAAGGCTTCAGAACCGCTGACAGAGCAGACGGTGTTGTCTTGTGACAATAAACGTTCCACCTAAACTGCCAATTTCAGAGATTAATGTCCACAAAAACCAATGTAAGGGGAGCCCCCGACCCCAAGGATGGATCAAACGGCGTGAGGATGATTAATGCCTCTTGTTTATAGGTCACCACCATGTCACCATCTCCACATTTAATAAGAACCCTCCTGCATTTTAGAGGAACATTCTGTGGTGAGCCTAAACTTCAGCCCTAACTTCCGAAGCACCTCGTCTACAGGAGTGTTTTAAAACACGAAAATGCATGTGTGTAATCGTTAGGGGGGTTGTAAGCCAGTATAAAGAGCCCTTTATCCAGTACGAGCAGAGGAAGTGAGCTTCAGAATAAATATCAGCATGAAGAGAGGTACAGACCACAGGACTACACATCTGGAGATATTACAATTCCATCTCCATGCCAAGAAACTCAGTCAGCAACACCACCCACACCTTCACACACACACACACACACACACATAAACACACACAGATGTCAGAAATACATCTCAAAGCAAATGTTGAGTCTGACAGGTCTTCATCAGTACCAGCTTTCCTCATCTTACTCTTTTGTGACCTCTGTGACCTTTCACTTCCTGTTTAACAAGAAAAGAAACATAAAATTAAGGCGGGGGGAAAACGGAAAAAAAGCTCCACCTCTTTCTCTCCCTCCTTTTAGCTTTTCCCGGAGTCAAAAGTCTGCCACGTCGATTCTGAAAAATCCACATTTGAAAGTACTAAAGACGCTGTGTTTTACAAACGAATTTTTGCGATGCAAATGCTGCATATCTTATCATTTTGTATATCTGTTTTCAAAGACTCTGCTCCTAATCTAAGATGGATTTTATGAGTCGACGGGGGTGAAAGGGCCAGGAAACCCAATGGTTCTTGCCACCCACATTCTTCGCCTTCTCGTACCACCATCAAACACTCAGAGGTTTTAAAAGACCCTCCTCTCGTCCTCCTCCCCCACTCACCTACCACTCTTTTGGCATCTCACACACTCGGACGTCCAGAGAAAAAGAGAGACAGAAGGAGAAAAGAAAGGATGAAGGTTTTCGGAGGACAACCGGAACATCTAATGCCAAATCTGATTGGCACAGATGCACGAACTTTGAGGTATTTCTTGTCCCTTTGAAGTATTTATCATTTGCGTATGGTAGAAACAGATCTGAAAGTCTGAAGTTAAGGAGGGACAATGGGCTAGATAGATATTATCACACATCTAAGCAAACTGAAATGGATATATGAACTAAAATATATCAATAATAGATGTTATATTACCGAAATAGCATTTGAGATGGAATTCGAAATCAATGGTCAATAATAAACATTAACTTTCTCATCTCCTATTTTCCACGCTCACTTCCAAAAAAACATTTGGATAACGGAACATTTGCTTGTGTGAAAGGGTGTGGTGATACTCACAAAAAGTTATGTTCATTAACATGTACATTGTGTACGTTATGATGTTTAATGTTTTATACACATTCATTCCTTAGGGCTGTTGGACTCATCTCATCTCCCCGTGAAGCGTCATGCCCGCCCCGCTTTCCCAGTGTTCAGACTACCTGTTCAGGGCGTAGAGATTGTACAGTAGTCTGCACATTGGTTAGGCTGTGTGGGGGGTGCACACACATCAACTAGTTGTGTTCATCAACAGTCTCGTCATCATGTCTCTGTACGTCTTCCCATGGAAATGTGCATGCCTTCATGTGCTAAGTAATGTCATGAGGTTAGAAACCTCCTCTGCAGAAAAATCAATTAAGTTATGCAAATAATTAAGTTAAACAAATAATGCTTATCTGTTTATTCAAGTTTATTTTTTGTTTTTTACTATATTTTTTTAATTCTATAATTCTAAAAAAAAAAACTCTGTTTTCATGTTTTTATTTAAAAAAAATAAAAATAAATATATATGTATATATATATATATACATATATCTATCTATCTATCTATCTCTCTATCTATATATCTATCTATAGAGATTGTACAGTAGTCTGCACATTGGTTAGGCTGTGTGGGGGGTGCACACACATCAACTAGTTGTGTTCATCAACAGTCTCGTCATCATGTCTCTGTACGTCTTCCCATGGAAATGTGCATGCCTTCATGTGCTAAGTAATGTCATGAGGTTAGAAACCTCCTCTGCAGAAAAATCAATTAAGTTATGCAAATAATTAAGTTAAACAAATAATGCTTATCTGTTTATTCAAGTTTATTTTTTGTTTTTTACTATATTTTTTTAATTCTATAATTCTAAAAAAAAAAACTCTGTTTTCATGTTTTTATTTAAAAAAAATAAAAATAAATATATATGTATATATATATATACATATATCTATCTATCTATCTCTCTATCTATATATCTATCTATATAGTACATGTGTTTTTCATTCTAAATAATAAGAGTAATAAATACTTTTTTATTACTCTTCTATAGACATCTAATGTTTTTTTTATAATGATAATTGCTATATATGTATATATAGCATTATATATAACACAACAGATGTCTATAGAAGAGTAAACGTAGAAAGAAAGAAAGAAAGATTTTACTTGATGGAAATCGAAATGATGATTTGATGGAAAATAAAAGTCTTTTCTCTGTATATAATTGTCATTGTTTGGACTCTTATTTCATCCACTTGGACCACAAGGAAACTGTTTTGGCATAAGCAGGACATAACTGTGGTTTTTAAAAATGAGGAGATTAAATGAAAAACAATTATATACAAAATGGATATTTTTTTCTAAATAGTAAGTCATTTTGGACCAGGAACTCCTTTGTTTTAAAAAGACCTTCTCTGCATGCTTAAACTAACTAGAGCGAGGGCTTTTGGGAAGTGTTGGACCAAAATCTGGTATGTATGGTAATGAAAACCATATGCCACCTTCCCAACCCCCAGAGCAGCCCTCCCACCAGCCCCTGGTCTGCTTCTCCTCATGCCTTCGGTCTGGACTGACAGTGGGGGTAGGGCGGGGGTCACAACGGTACCGTAACACCTGTGCTTGATCAGACCGCCAAGACAGCAAAATGCCTGGCCATTACGGAAATAAGAAACAGAACCAATGCACTCATTTATACTGTATGACCTCATCCGTCTCAATTCTCTTTTCTTGGATCCAGTGTTGCGGTGCATTTACAGCATGGGTTACTGGTAGGATAAGATGCTTTCATTGTGAAATAGACTAAATATAGCCTTACTTCTGGTGGAAATAATACTAAAATACAGAGCCCAGAGTATATGAAAAAAAAAACAAGGCTGCTCCAGGGTGACCGGCCCCGTAGAGATTATACTGTGGGTAGCTTCAGATAAATGAAAAGCAACCAAGAAGAAATGAAGGGCACTCACCTCATCATCTTTGTACCAGGACAGATTCTCAGCGGTCAGGACAAACCAGTATTCCTTGGCTCCTCCTTTCATGATGCCAATATTATTGATGGTCAGCCAACCCTTTCTGATCACCTAGACAAAGTCAAACAAATGGGATGTAGAGGATAATGTACTGTTAGTCTTTGTTATACTTATCAAATATATAAATAAATGGACAAGAAATCAATAATGAAGAGGAACTTGCACTGCTATGTAGGAAATCATTTGGGACAATGACCAATTATGCAGTTTAATGATCATTATACAAAAATATCTGAACCCAGAATGCCGTGATTGACCAATCAGAATCAAGTGTTCCAGAACCCAATGTATTGTAATACATTTGAAAACAATGTGTATGCGATTGTGGGATTTCACAGAAGAACAATTAAAAGATCATTGCAAATACAGTGGGGTCCAAAAGCCTGCAACCATTAGTCAAAAATGCAGTTAAAACATGCAGTTAAAACATTTTTGGGGAAGAGTAAGAGTTTTTTTATATTTATTCAGAATTGATCTCAGTCAAAATGATGTCAAACAAATACTGTTCTTTTCAAGCAATCATGAAAATGTATCATGGTTTCCACAAAATAAATATAGTAAAACAGAAAACAGTTATTTTAAATTGTAATAATATTTCACAATATTGCTGGTTTTACTGTATTTTTGGTAAAAGAAAATGCAGACTTGGTGAGCATAAAAAAACATATAAAAGTTTTATATTATTAAAAATACACATAAGATAAAAGTTGATAACTTATTAAAAATAAAGATGACACATAATATGATCAGCATTACAATTTAAATAAAACATTAAAAATCTACATGAATTTCACAGTTTTTTAGCATTTGGTATGCTTTTTAAAACTCTTTATTTTCAGGTGTAAATGTAAAAAAATCAATTTCTCTGAATTTTCTACTGTAATTGACTAGTGTACGCTTTCAGGCTTTACTGTCATTACATCAGGAAGACTTCTTTTTACCCGAAGTAACCTAGAGTGCATTCAAGGTGTACTATATTTGTTCAGAACATTTGTTCTCTGAGAAACGAACCCATGAACGTCACATCTCTAGCAGATGAGCTGCAGCTCTCAGGAGTGCAATGGGTTTCCACTGGAAACCTTATTTAGCTCCACAGCAGCCTCTCCAGTGCAGTGGTATGGTGCAAAAGCACTCAACTTTATCGGAAAAGGTCAGGATTAATTAATGATCATAAAAAGCTATTTGTGTTTTAAACAAATACACCATAATGAGGACCATAATAATCAACATGCAATGCTATTTTTTCAAATCCATTTTATATTAAAAGGCCAAAGTGCATTAGCAGACACAAAAACACACACACACACACACACACCAAAGAGGTCAATGCACACTTACCATTATCTCATCCTGAGGCGCGTTGGCATAGCAACAGTAGCAAAGCAAAGACAGGGTTTAAGATAGGTAATTATAAACTGGAAAAGGCAGCAGTGAGAACAGACAAGATGTACAGAACACAAAAGTAGCAGAAAGATGCTAGGACAGTTCACAGCACTAACACAAGACATACAAAAAACCTAAACAGAACATGCTGTAAGACAATTCATGATATCCATGATGAATAACAACAGATATCTTGATACATATATTTAGAAATTTAAAAACTACTGGAAAATGCTTAATAAAATTCAGTCTAAAACAAAGGTAGGCCTATCATGCTCTTGAAGCTTTGTTTGTTTGTTTGTTTGTTTGTTTGTATGTTTTTTTGCAAGAGTCATGCAAGTTGTAAATAAACAGATTACATATTACTTCACATATTACATATCATTTCTTATATTTTTATTAATTTAATTCAAATAGTTTTGTCCTGCTCTGCATAGTTTTAAAAGCTAAACAAAAAATGGGGCTTCTCTCTTTTTACAAGATGATTTGATTTTGACAGAAACCTCTCTATCATACATTTCTTCAGCTTCACATTTTGGATGTAGCCGTCCATGCTATACTAGAGGATATATGTATCAGATATACAGTAATTGCATGGTCAATCTAGATGTTATTTAATAACTGATTAGGAACCGAAGAGTTCATTTGCAAAAACAAATAACGCCGCTTTTAAATTTTTTTTAAATCATGTTTTTTTATCCTGCATTCCCATTAATATCAGTCAAACTGCAGTTGGGTTGTTTTGATTAAATAATAATAACTAAAAAAATACAGCTAACTAACACACTAAAACACATGATTTATAAAAATTTATAAAAACGGAGTTATCTACATGTGATTCATGTTTGCCAGTGGCTAATGAAGCACTTTTTTCAACCAAGCTCTTCCTAATTATTTCTTACTTTTTAAAGAGCATTTTACAAAACAACACCAACCACTGTTCTCAATAATTAAAATCTCATAAAATGACAGAGACTGAGTGATGCAGTGCCCAATTATAGACCTGCGTCTGCTGTTCCTACATAAGTAGGTGGCAGCAAACATCTGTCCAGGCTGTGTGAGGATGCACGCAGGACGCAGCATCTGTTCATTCTGGCTTGTGCTTACCTGATTGCCAGCAGCCTTTTTCTTATTCATCTGACTGCTTCTCTGCTGGGCACTGAAGTGATACACAGAAGAAAAAAAAAAAGAAGAAATATCTATAAAGAGCACAAAACGACTGAAACTTATGGATATCTAATAGCCACAAGACCATTTGGCATGAGTTTGAATTTTGGGGGTCACTGCCAAAAAAACAGATACTGGTGTCACCATCTGACTTCTTAACATGACCTCCTAAGGGCTGGAATACACTACAGATTAAAAAAAAACTAAACATTATGCACTTGCCAACTTTGGTTTCATGCACTAAATGACTGACAATCACACACTATGGCTTTTAAGTCATTCCCAACACAACAAACTCTCACAGAAACTTGACTCACTTCTAAGAGATGAATGATAAATGAAAATAATATGTGCTCTAAAATCGGCTCAAATTATGAAACATTTCTGACATCATTCGATCGGATGGAATCAGTCTAAAGCTAAAAAACTGGAGTTGGTGTCCATCATACATGGTCAGCTCCGACTGCTGACTGACTCTGACTCTCGGCAGCTAGCATCAAATTGTCCAGACTGCAAATCCAGGCAAAGATCTGTACAAAAGTAGTGTAGTGTATTCCAACCTTTCAGCTAAACTGCAAAAGCTGGAAAACAGAGTGGCATATGCTGGCCCACATACTAGACTATGATCAAACTCACAATAGGACAAACCAGCCTGGCTAGGCTTCATTCAAAAGTGGTGATCAGATTCAATAATAAATTCCATGGATTTGATTCTGCCAAAGGATTTATAAAGGTCGAAACTGATAGAAGATTAGAATATTAACTAAAATGTATGGCGAACAGACACTTTTAAACTGCAAAATTACTGTAGAGTCACATTTAGGATGTCTATTTGAATCAGTCTGTAGGTCTACTGTGCATATCTAGGGATCACAGAGGACACAATCTCTGTCTATCATCACTGCGCCTTTGAAAAAGGCTCTCATTTAATGATGGTTCTTCTGAATTGCTCTACAGAAAGCATTCATTGAACGACATTTTCAGTATTAGTTTCAATGAGCCTGATGATCTCCTCACAGTTATGTTGGAGTGTTCTAGCTGTTTGCGTTTTTAAGTGACAAACAATAATGCTAGTAAATGGTTAACAATGTTCTTACTTTGCAAAACCGATGAAATCCTCATGATTGGTGTTCATGTATGCTAACTCGATGTCAATTAGCAACATGACCTAATGGCAGGAAAATAATACACATGTCACTATTTATTTTTCAGTTGAAGCTGTAGCTTGGTTTTACCATTAGTTTCAATGAGCCTGATGATCTCCTCACAGTTATGTTGGAGTGTTCTAGCTGTTTGCGTTTTTAAGTGACAAACAATAATGCTAGTAAATGGTTAACAATGTTCTTACTTTGCAAAACCGATGAAATCCTCATGATTGGTGTTCATGTATGCTAACTCGATGTCAATTAGCAACATGACCTAATGGCAGGAAAAGAATACACGTCACTATTTATTTTTCAGTTGAAGCTGTAGCTTGGTTTTACCACTTGAGTTTGTATATGTGAGGGTTAGCAGGTACCTGATTCTTGGTGCGACTCTCTCGATCTCGGATGTGCTGGGTGACAATCCTCTCCATTTCCTCTCTAAGCATGGGGTACTGAGCCAGCTGTCCCAAAAAAAAAAAAACATACTGGATCAACTACAACAGCTGAGACAATAAGCGGGGCTTATTGTTCAAGCAAATCTTATTACTGCAGACAAATGGACAAGGGATTTCAGTGATTATCAGTTCATGAATGGAGCTCACGGAAAAACACGGATATTCACCCCCCAATTAAAATAATAAATTCTTATATGCACGAAGACAATGAAGCCTAATGTAAAAATAATCATTTAATTGCTGGAAAAGAGTTTTGCATTATTTAGCTGACAATTAACCAAATCCCCCATCCCCATTCTCATTATTACAATGTGTCTCGATTTTTTATTTATTTTTTTATAAATGAAATGTATTCTGGGAAACGCAATATTTTACTATTTAAACAATGTATATTTTTGAGAACTTTTTGTGTGCCACAATTCAAACATAGAAAAAAATATATTTTTTTTTTAATTAATTGAATTTAATTACTTTCTTAAATTAATTAATTAAAAAATGTAAATATTTTTATTCAGGGGTTAAATATGACCTGTACATGTTCTTGACACAGGCTAAAATTCACTCAAAGTGGTACTTTTTTAAATTAATTAATTAAAAAATGTAAATATTTTTATTCAGGGGTTAAATATGACAGGCTAAAATTCACTCAAAGTGGCATCATATAGGGTCGATAAAATTAGCATTTTGATCAGGCTCCTATTTGTAGGTTCAGTAATATCACTTTAATGGCAATGAATAGGTTCTTTTCTTTGAAAGATTTTTAGAAGAAAATTTCAGATGGCACTTAGAGGCTTTTGCATCTGAACTCTTCATATATGGAAAATTGAAACATGAATTTGGTGTCAGTAAGATTATTTAATGTTTTTGAAAGAAGTCGCTTACCCAAGGCTGCATTTATTTGATCAGAAATAAAGTGAAACACTAATAATGTGATTACAATTTAAAACCACAATGAAACCTTTTTCCCCTACTTGCATAGAATGTAATATAATCCTGTGATGTAAAAGCTCCAGTCTTCAGTGTCACATGATCCTTTAGAAATCATTCTAATACGCTGATTTGGTGCTCAAGAAACATTTCTTATTATTATTACTGTTAAAAAAAAGTTGTGCAGCTGAATAATTTTGTGGAAAACATGATTCCAAAATGTTTCTAATGTGTCCTGTTTCTAAAGAACAGCATTTATTAAAAATATAAGTATTTTGTGACATTCTGATCAAATGAATGCTTTCTTGCAGAATAAAAGTATAAATAAATAAAAAAAAGTACTGACCCCAAACCTTTGAATTGTAGTGTATGTGAAGCTATGGGGTTTTACCTTCTTGGTGCACTGCCTGACTGTATTGACCAGCTCAGTGATGACAAGGTCCACACATTTCTGACATGGCTCTTTGATCTTTGCAATCTGCCGTTTAACAATAGTCTCGAAGGCCATGTCTGGAGTAAACAGACCGGTTCTGACAAGTGAAAGGGATGAACAGAGCAGTCAGAGATCTAAATGATGTGCTTTACAGTTGTTTGTCATTGCAATTCATATTTCATGGCATGGTTCTCATTGTACAGTACTTTAAATCTAGCACGCAGTAGCTCAGAATGTCACAGTAACATCAAAGCGAGTTTGATCTCAGAGCAGGAGAGCTGTTGAATGTGTGTGACTGTGTGTTTCTGGGGTAGAGGCAGATGCACACCTGATACCGTGGATGTTCTTGATGGCGTAACTGATCTCCTTACGCAGCTCTTTCTCATCAAACTCCATCTAGTCATCATTAGCAGACACAGAAACACCTACTTGATATAATTTGAGAGGATATACTGTAATTTTGCTCTTTATGATGAAATTACCTTAACCAGCTCAAAGGGGAAGCGCTCGTGAAAGATGCGATTGATCCTCGCACCTCCAGACAGCTCCACTGTGTCCACCTGATCTCCTGAACCCTCAATGCACTTCTCAAAATCCACCGCAAACTGCTGCACCATCCTTTAAACCAGAGAACAGTGTTTTATGTGCGAGTCACAGATTCAAACCTTCACACAGAAACACACACACATGTATAATGATACACTACTGTTCAAACGTTTGGAGTCAGTAAGATTTTTAATGTTTTTTAAAGAAGCCTCTTATGCTCAGAAATATTATGAAATATTATTACACTATTATTATGATTTAAAATAACAGTTTTCTTAGGCTCTAGCTCCCCTCGTGACCCTGCAAAGGGTTTTTAATATACTTTAAAATGTACTTTTTAAAGTACATTAAATGTTCTCATACACTTTTTTTATTTTGATATCCTTTAAAATGCAATTTATTCCTCTGAAGGCAATTCTGAATTTTGCTCATTTTCAGGGTTCAAGACTTCTTTTATTATTTTTTCAGGATTCTTTGATGAAAAGAAAGTTTGAGAGAACATCATTTATTTAAAATAGAATTATTTTGTAACATCATAAATGTCTTGTCACTGATCAATTTAATGAATCCTTGCTGAATAAAAATATTCATTTCTTTTGACACCACCAACAACAAATCTTTAAAAATCTGACTCCAAACTTACGTGCATGGGCTGTAAGTGTTCAAATGTGCAATACATATCAGACTCACTGTAGCAGAGCCTTGGTTTTGCGAGAAGGATCATCAGGGCGGAAGTGCTTGTACTCCTCCACCTCTTTCTCAATGGACAGTAGCTGGCTCTGAAGTTTGTTCCTCAGTCCTGGCAGAGTGTCTCGGATGTGGTTAGTTAATTGCTAAATGAGAACAGAAACCCTTGGTTACTAGTCAGAATCTCTCTTACAGTAAACATGATTTGTGTTTGTTTATAAATAACAATATACATAAGGCTATATTCTTCTTTATCAAAATGGCAGTGGGGTATATAAAAAAACATGCAGAAAAACAATTGCATGAGTGACTCTCGCTGTCATTCAACCTGGTTAAGAACTTTCTGCAGGTACGGAGTCCCCATGCGATCGGCCAGGTGATGGTAGGCTGGATGGGTGAGGAAGAACTTCCTCTCCGCTGCTATTGCAGCAGTGATGTCTTTCTTGCCATCAATGTCCTTCTGACTGCGGTTCACAACCCCAATGTAGCCTACAGGGAGCATCCAGTTTGACATTGTTACAAACAATCAGCATGACCAAACGTAGTACACTGGACATAGTCAACAAATAACTTCGAACCCATTATCTTTCAGAAAATGTAGAAGTATAGCTGTTAAATTACTTTCACAAGGTGGACTATCCCACATTTTGATTAAATAAGCTCTTAAATGTAAAGTTATGAGGAAATAAATGGGAACATATATTAGTAACTGCATTTGGAGAGTAAATGGTAAAATTAAGTGTAATTTTATGTGTTTTTCAGTGAAGAGAAAGACGTGTTGGCATTTAATGTTCAGTTATGATGGAGTTCGGTTATTATGGATGGCTACATGATGACCATGATGTGTGTTGCGTCAGTTAATGAGCAATAACAGCATTAATGCCAGTACTGAGACCAATCTCTTCCTACCTGCTCATCTGATGTTGCATATAGTAACAATAAATGTAATTTTCTTTAGCACGCTATTGCTTGTTATTGTCTAAAATAATAACATAACTTAGATCCAGCAAGTCATTTGTTTAAAAGAACTTGTTTTAGTCTTGTATATGTATAGAAAAGTTTTCCTTAAAGGAGACATATTATGCCCCTTTTTACAATATATTTGCTGAAACTTTCGCCATGGCATTAGAGCTGGTACACCGTTGTCACTTGCAAAAACACAATGACAGCACTGTGGGTGTATTACATTTACAGATTAAGGGGCGGTAATATTATAATGAGATCCCTTTGCCATGTCACCAAGGGAGCGAAATCAGACGCGCTCGTTTTCTCAGACGCTTGCAGAAAAAGGCTTACCAAAACAAAGTTACTGGGTTAATCTTTTTCACGTTTCCTTGGTTGGTAGATGCACCAGGGACCTGATTATAGCACTTAAAACCTGGAAAAGTCAGATTTTCATGATATGTCACCTTTAATTTAAATAAGTTAATTGAATAAACTAGTCTAATTTTAACGGGAAGTGTGTTATCTAGTAAGGAACTAGGTAAATAGAATATGCTATGTGACAAGTAATCAATAATGTTATAACAATGTTCTCTGCTGGTGGAATGACCTGCCCAACTCGATCCAAGCAGCTGAGTCTTTAGCCATCTTCAAGAAATGGCTAAAGATACGTCTCTTCCATCTACACTTGACCCTCTAACACTAGCACTTTCTATCCTATTTCCATATTTTCTTTTATTTATTATGAAAAAACTTGACCCTCTAACACTAGCACTTTCTATCCTATTTCCATATTTTCTTTTATTTATTATGAAAAAAACTTGACCCTCTAACACTAGCACTTTTTTATTCTATTTCTATTCTATTCCCATATTTTCTTTTATTTATTATGAAAAAATCTTGACCCTCTAACACTAGCACGTTCTATTCTATATCTATTCTATTTCCATATTTTCTTTTATTTATTATAAAAACTTGACCCTCTAACACGAGCACTTTCTATTCTATTTCTATTCTATTTCCATATTTTCTTTTATTTATTATAAAAAAACTTGACCCTCTAACACTAGCACTTTCTCTTCTATTTCTATTCCATTTCCCAATTTTTGCTTTTATTTATTATAAAAAACTAGACCCTCTAACACTAGCACTTTCTATTCTATTTCTATTCTATTTACATATTTATTTATTTTTTATTATAAAAAACTTGACCCTCTAACATTAGCACTTTCTATTCTATTTCTATTCTATCTACTTTTTTTCTTTTTCTTTTTTATTAAAAAAACCTTGCTACGTGTACTGCATTAGACTAATCGGGATTGTCACAGCACTTGTATATTGTTTCTCTTTTGTTGGTTTGATTGCTCCTATTGTCTTCTTTTGTAAGTTGTTTTGGATAAAAGCTTCTGCTAAATGATTAAAAGTAAATGTAAATGTAATGTGAATAATAGGGGAGAAAGGTCATCTATAAGTGCAGAAAGAATAGCAGCTGCTAAAATGCACTGGCAGACTTAGACTTAATAGAGCATCAAAGGCTTCAAAAGCAAAAATGTCCTCTACAGAAGATTTCTCCCTGAAGTGTGTTGCAGGTTTAATAGCCATCTTTTGCTCTCTTGGATCTTTTGAGGTGTTTTTGTGTCTGAGTGCCCTTATAGACAAATAAATATATAAATAAATGCCTGACCTCTTTATACATTTTGCATTTGGCTTTCAAGAGACCAGACACATTTATTTACCATTCAGTGGTGAATAAATATGATTTATCATCAGTAATCAGAATTGGTCAAACTGTCCCCCCAAATATTTGATATGCTTGATGCTGCTCTGCTGTACTCCATTACACATTGCTCTGTATGTTATTAGGATGGTGCAAAATGAGCTGTAAGCAGTTACACATTAAATATTTATCTACGGTTTATAACAGAAATGTTAAATGATTAACAGTAACACCAAAAATTACTAATTTTGTCAAATTTTGCCATTTTAAATGTAAAATAAATCATTTGTGTGATTCAAGTAATTCAGTTTGTAATTGAATGTGACAAGACAAGAAACATTAACTTAGTCGTTTTCAGCATATTAGGCATAAGAGTGACTATGTGGATACTGTGAATATATTTAATGAACACAGTTTCCTGGAATCCTTTCAGTAAAATAAAAATATTATGTGCAAATAGTTAAAATAGTAAACAGTAAATATAAATTCTTGTTCTTTTACTATTTTTCTTTCTTTTTTCATATTTTATTTTCCCTTAAAGCACTTTTAAATCATGTAATTATTTAATTCCTTTAAATAAAAATGACCAGTACATTGGTGACAGACATATTTAACCATTTAACCAACTCAATATTTTAAAGCATAAATTAAAAAATAACATTATCTTCACTCATTCTGGCCTGGGAATCACTGTTCATTGTTATTTACAAATTGTCCATGACCACCCACTATTTATGTGGAAAGAGTATGAATGCTACTCTTTGCACACTGACTTTACCTCTACGTAAAGGAAGAAGCTTGTTCTCCAGAATGTCACGTGCATCGGTTCCTTCATCCATTAGATCCAATTTAGTGATCACACCTATAGTTCTCAAACCTACTCAGAAACACACAAACATTGATGCATGATCAAATACAATTTTACAATGAAAAGAGCTTTACAAATCAAGGTAAGCCTGCAAGTATGCAAATATTTTAGAACATTTTTAGTCATTGCTGGATGATGACCCACCCTGAGGGTCCACCTCCTTGGCAATCTTGAGGGCATCTGAATTGGCCAGGTCAGAGTTGGCCGGAGACACAGCCAGCAACAAGCAGTTCTCCTTAGTCACAAACTGCATTAGCATATCCCTGATCTGAAACTCAATGTCATGCGGCTGGTCCCCTACCGGCACTTTGGTCATACCAGGCAAGTCCACAAGGGTGAGATTCAAAACTGGCGATGAAAACAAGGGGTGACAGGATTATATGTCATATTTCCCAATGCATGGTTATATGTAACAGAATATTTAGATATGATCATGGTTAAATGTCTGTATGTGCATGAATGTAAGTACCATGAGGCGAATAGACGCGCAGATTGATAGGGACCGGTGAAATGCCTTTGTTTTGGCCAGTGATGCGATCTGTCTCTGCCTCAATGTCCTGACGAACCTCATCAAAATCTGTAAACTTCTTCCCTTTGCAATGCAAAAACTCAGCATATTCTGGAAATAAGCAATCAGAAATTTTAACAAAACTGCTTTTTAGTTTTGCCTTAAAGGAGCACTTCACCCAAAAAAATGAAAATGTATCACCTTGTTTCTTCACCAGGAGAGATTTGGAGAAATTTAGCATTAAATCACTTGCTAACCAATGGATCATCTGCAGTGAATGGGTGCCGTCAGAATTAGAGTCCAAACAGCTGATAAAAACATCACAATAATCCTCAAGACTCCAGTCCATTAATTCACATCTTGTGAAGTGAATAACTGAGTGTATGTGAGAAACAAATCCATAATTAAGACGCTTTTAACTTCAAACGAGCCCTCTATGGAAAAAATGGCTTTCTTCAGTGAAGAAGTCATCTCATCTAAATCAGGAGAGAAATATGCACAGATCAAGCACTGTTTACAAGTGAAAAAAGTCCAAAACACTTCTAAACATATTTTGGTGGATTTTGATGTGAGAGGACAACAAGCAATTGACTTAATCACTGGAGGAAGTGTTATTATGGATTATGGCTTCGTATTTTGGCTAGAAGTGATGATTTTAATGTTAAAAATTATGCCTTAATGATGGATTTGTTTATTACAAACAGGCAGCTTTTCACTTTACAAGACATTAATTGATGGACTGGAATCGTGTGGATTACTTGTGGAAAATTGTGGTTTTTATCAGCTGTTTGGACTCTCATTCTGACGGCACCCATTCACTGCAGAGTCCACCTCCTTGGCAATCTTGAGGGCATCTGAGTTGGCCAGGTCAGAGTTGGCCGGAGACACAGCCAGCAACAAGCAGTTCTCCTTAGTCACAAACTGCATTAGCATATCCCTGATCTGAAACTCAATGTCATGCGGCTGGTCCCCTACCGGCACTTTGGTCATACCAGGCAAGTCCACAAGGGTGAGATTCAAAACTGGCGATGAAAACAAGGGGTGACAGGATTATATGTCATATTTCCCAATGCATGGTTATATGTAACAGAATATTTAGATATGATCATGGTTAAATGTCTGTATGTGCATGAATGTAAGTACCATGAGGCGAATAGACGCGCAGATTGATAGGGACCGGTGAAATGCCTTTGTTTTGGCCAGTGATGCGATCTGTCTCTGCCTCAATGTCCTGACGAACCTCATCAAAATCTGTAAACTTCTTCCCTTTGCAATGCAAAAACTCAGCATATTCTGGAAATAAGCAATCAGAAATTTTAACAAAACTGCTTTTTAGTTTTGCCTTAAAGGAGCACTTCACCCAAAAAAATGAAAATGTATCACCTTGTTTCTTCACCAGGAGAGATTTGGAGAAATTTAGCATTAAATCACTTGCTAACCAATGGATCATCTGCAGTGAATGGGTGCCGTCAGAATTAGAGTCCAAACAGCTGATAAAAACATCACAATAATCCTCAAGACTCCAGTCCATTAATTCACATCTTGTGAAGTGAATAACTGAGTGTATGTGAGAAACAAATCCATAATTAAGACGCTTTTAACTTCAAACGAGCCCTCTATGGAAAAAATGGCTTTCTTCAGTGAAGAAGTCATCTCATCTAAATCAGGAGAGAAATATGCACAGATCAAGCACTGTTTACAAGTGAAAAAAGTCCAAAACACTTCTAAACATATTTTGGTGGATTTTGATGTGAGAGGACAACAAGCAATTGACTTAATCACTGGAGGAAGTGTTATTATGGATTATGGCTTCGTATTTTGGCTAGAAGTGATGATTTTAATGTTAAAAATTATGCCTTAATGATGGATTTGTTTATTACAAACAGGCAGCTTTTCACTTTACAAGACATTAATTGATGGACTGGAATCGTGTGGATTACTTGTGGAAAATTGTGGTTTTTATCAGCTGTTTGGACTCTCATTCTGACGGCACCCACAACATAAATGTATTGCAGATATTGTTAAAGTTCAATAATTTTATATACACATTTTAGAATTAGTCTGATTCAACGGAGAATTAGAAGGCTGAATCCTGACTGACAGAGGAGGAGTTGGGGATGGAGGAGGGTAATTAGCTATTGAGCAATGCGAAAACTGCTGATAATGCTGAGGGAGCTTATATATGACTGCTTAGGGTGCTTTCACACCTGTAGATCGATTACTTTGTTCCGAAACAGGGACTAAAATTAATACAATGTTGCTTTTTATTCTTGGTGCAGTTCGCTTTCACATGGCAAAGTTTCTAAACGGACCAAGTTTGTTAATTCAAGTCATGCGCGAGTAAACTATTCTCTCATTGGTCAAAGTTCCAGTTTATTTTCCGGGATTCCACTAGCTGTCACAGCTGTCATCCGTCAGGATGGAACGATAACAGCTTCATTTTGAGGTATTAGCAAATAACAAAGCTAATGCTTTTCACGGAACTTACGTAATTACCCATCATAAATTGTGATATAGCCTGGTTCGTTGGTCCGTTGGATCGGATTGCTTTCTCACTACAACCGACCCGCTCCAGAGTTCGTTTTCAATCGAGCCGAGACCACCTCGTTCAGGCGATCTCGGACCGATTGTTTCGGCGCGGATCCAAGCGCGATTGCCATGTTCACATATGCCCAAACGAACCGAGCTAAGGTGGGAAATGCGCCACGTTCCGAAACAACAGGCCAGGTGTGAAAGCACCCTTAGATAGGTGTCGTATTCCTATAGGTAGATGGGGATCAGCTGAGAGTCAGCTGATGCGAGCTTGACTAACGTGACCTGCCAGAACTAATGCTACGCTTGATTTCTCCAAAACGTTTCTGGTGAAGAAACAAACTCATCTATAATTTGGATGGCCTGAGTAAATGTTCTACAAATTATAATTTCTGGGTGACCTATTCCTTAAAAACATGCCTTTAAACACTACAGCGCTTTTTGTCTTCCTTCTAATGCAAGCAAGATATTTACCAGTAGGGCAGTTGATGAGCTGTAGCACTAGGGGACGCCGAGTGACGATACCAGAGCCACGAGGCAGAAAATCCCTAAAAGGAAAAAGAGGCAGCATTCATTGAGTCACGTTGTTTTTATATGCAAAGAATATCAAAGTTAATTTCTAGCATACAAATATTACATAAAGAGATGTACATTTTCTTTTTAAAAATCCGAAGAATAAATCAGTGCAAAGCAATGCAAAAAATATAAATACTTTTATAAAGTCATGCTGCTATGTTTTAAACTGCTTTTACAAGGCAATGAAAGTTCATACATATAATTACCGTGAATAACAACTCTTCATTTTTAATCTAACGATGACTCTCAGTGTATATTCACACTAAAACAGCTCATCCTGAAAAACAGATGTACTGACTTAATTAAAAACATGCCAGTGCTAGTGCTGCTCTGGCAATTTACTGCATAACTCAGCTTTGTACTTGTTCTAGATATTAGTAGCACTAGTTCAATTTTTCATATATGTCTGTTGCCAGTATATTCGTAACTAGGCCTCTCTTAGTTATGAGATTTGGAGATAGGGTTGAAGAAAGAGCTCTCTAAGGAGTGTGAGAGAGTGCTGTGAGTTCTGGCCATTAGGCAGAAGTGCTTTCAACATTAGTGGATATGTTTAGAAAGAAGAAAAACATGTAATTGCATTTCACCACTGACCACCTTTATGGATTTCAAAGACTGGATGTTTAAAATAGCCTCTACACAATCTAATCTCTCTTTTGTAGGTAGCTAATGTAATTTACATTATTTTTACAGTGCAATTATGTAATTCATATTGACTGTGTTAACATAATAAAGTAATTATGATGGTTATATACAGGTATCTTATCATAATAGGTTCTCAAATGATCTCTTATCATCCTCATTGAAGTGCTGTAATGTGCAGAACAATAATTGATGAGGATGTTTGTATAATAAATATAGGGCAACAGACTTTTTATTTTAGGACTGCTGTGAATTACGTTCACTAGTTGTCAGTCTCAAAACACAGTTCATATTTTGTAGGATATAAGGAAACCTACATATATGTAGTGGTAGAAATTAGGTAGGAATTAGAAAAATACTGAGAAAATACTTCTTACAGTGAGTTTTTCATAGAAGAGCAGCAAAAATCTAGTCATTGTTCATTATTTGTCAGAGTAACTGTAGCTTCCTGCGGAGTTCCTTTTAGTTTTATGGCACGCTACAGACCAACATTAACGGTGCATACTGCCACCTACAATACCGGAGTGTGTAAAATCATGGCTTCATTGATCTCATCTGAAATTCTTCTAATAAAACCAGTTTCATGCAAAAAATTAATTAATGCCTTAACATTTGATGATGCACTGCTTAAGTTTTTTCCTTTCTTCAGTTTAACAGAACAAGCTCTACACTTTGCATTTACAAACCTCACATTTATCTGTGTTCACTTTGTTCATAAGAAATAATTTATTATTAAGTCTTGTGTGTCCTAACCGTAGTATTGAATAACTGATTTCTTATCTTCTGTTTTTACTATTAATTGTTTTAACTTTAATTACTTTTTGAATATTCCCTTTGTTTATTTGCCTGAGTGAAACAGGCAAACAGGCATGTATTTAACGCATAGTAATGCTCAATAATTCAGGTAAAAATAACAAAAATAATATTTCTCTCTTAAGAAACTTGAAGTAAACATATGATAAATCATGTTTTTCTCCAATATAGAATCCATATTAAAGATACTTTGATTTGATTGATTTTAAAAACCTCCTGATAAAAAAATTACTGAAAAGAAAGAAATTAGTCAAATATTTTTATATTAATAGTATCATATGATGTACAGTTATAAGCTGCCTGCAATGTTAACAAGCAAACAATAGTTTTTATTAGAAATTGTTTTTTTAATGACTTTGTAAAAACCTTTTAAGACAGATCTTCTGTGAGCTTTGAGGTTATTAAATTAAAATTATGTCACACGCTTCTGTTTAAACTGTCAGTCAGCATAATTTCAACTATAATAGCCACATTTCAGATGAAGAACTACACTTCACATTATTCTTAAAGAGAACAATCCACAGCAAATCAGTCAGGAAGAGAAAAGCAGTTCAGCATCAACCACCCACTCCAATGAAGCACTGTGAATGATGTAATCAAGCTGGTAATTAAATAAACAAGTCACTCTCTCATACTATATATATGTAAATGTGTGTTTTTGAAAGCAGTCTATTATTTGATCAAAAATATACCAAAACATTGTGAAATTATATTGATTAAAATTTACAATAACTGTTTAATTTTAATATATTTTAAAATTTAATTTATTCCTGTGATAAGTTGAAAATAAAATGTCAGACATTAGGGTTGGGCCGATAGGTGATGCCATCGTCCATCGCCGATGGCTGATAGACATCACGATGTTGAGCTGACATCATGATCCCCCCCCATACCCCCCGCAATCTGCTGCATCCCAATACCATGTTCGGAAAGAAAATGACACGTGTACGGAACCCCTAAAGGGGTCACATGAAAAGATATAATAAAATATTTACAAAAATGTGAGGGGTGTACTCACTTCTGTGAGATACTGTAAATACGAGATGGGAGGAAAATACATATTTTAAAAATGTATCTCACAGTTATATCATTGGGTAATTATACTGTATATAAATTGCGGGCATCAGGCAGCCACTATTATGGATGGCATTGAAACTGCTTTTGAATGCACGATCGCTTTTTAGTTTCACTTTCACTTTTGAGATTCGCGATTGCACGTACCCTGTTTATACTATGGAGCGGAAGTACTTACTACACATTTTACAAGATTAGACTTTTGTCAGTGGTGCTGAGGATCTGCAAATCATTCGCCATCATCCTCAGTCATCTCTCCTTACTCTGTTTATGTGGTAAGTGATATTTTATGTACTGTAATGTAACAGGCAACCGTTAGCAATCGTTTTCTGAATACGGATTCACGCTTCCAGAATAGGTAAGAACTGCCATTGCAGAGTTGGGGGTTGATAATATTTTTCAAGGAACAGAACTCTTTATATATTTATATAATTATTTATTTAAATCTCTATTTAGAAAGTGAATAGAAAAAAATATATATATATTTTAGGAACCATGACCGCTGCAAAAAAGAAAACAAGGTGGCCACTGCTGAGCTCTATTTAAAAACAAAGCAGCATAAAAACCAAACTTTCACAAGCACCCATGACAAGCTTAATGCTGCACTTCCCATTTATTGACACACATAAACACAGTGTCTTATCTGCTCTTGCAGACAGTTTAATGACATTCATACAGCAGCTGTGATATCCTGCTGCTTTCCGCCGGACTGCACCATCACATAATTAACTGTCACGTCATCATGCTAGGCCACATCAGCATGTGCCTCCGTTTTAAAGGCCATGTCTCATTCATAATGACATCTGTCTGATAAATTGCACCATAAGTGTCAGTGTGAATGAGCTCATGTTCGTTCAACTCATACATAAGTCCAAAGAACAGTTTTATCTACGTGGAAATTAATCAAGCATGAAAGAAACATAAGCTAAGATATTTTTATTTTACAGTGGGTTCCAAAACAAAACTGAACCTAAATAAATAAATAAAAATAAGGCCATTTTCTTTCTTTCTTCAGAAATGAAAATTCTGTCATCATATACTCATCCTTTTTCATCAAAATGACATCCGTTTTTCCAAACCTCTTCCAAAAAAGATTTTCTTTCTTCTACTGAACACAAAAGAAGATATTTTAAAGAATGTTGGTAACCAAATACACTCTTAAAAATAAAGGTGCTTCACGATGCCATAGAAGAACCTTTTTGTCTAAATGGTTTCATAAAGAACCTTTAACATCTGAAGAACCTTTCTGTTTCACAAAAGGTTCTTTGTGGTGAAAGAAGGTTCTTCAGATTATAAAAAGGTAAGAAAGAGATGGTTCTTTAAATAACCTTTGACTGAATGGTTCTTTGCGGAACCAACAATGGTTCTTCTATGACATCGCTGTGAAGAACCTTTTGAGGCACCTTTATTTTTAAGAGGGTAGTTTCTGGTCCCCATCAACTTCCATAGAATGTTTTTTTCCTTACTATGGAAGTTAGTGTGGAGACCAATTGACTGGTTACCCCCACATTCTTCAAAATATCTTCTATGTTTAACAGAAGAAAGAACTCTTGAAAACAACTTGGTGTCTACATGATGACAGAAGTTTCATTTTTGGGAGAACTATGGCTTTAAATCATTTACCAATCCTCATGTTGCGTCTAAACCTTCAAAATATCTTCCAAAAAAGAATTTAGAAGGTAAACGACAATTAACTAATTATTAAATGACAATTCTGTCATCAATCAAATGATTTTCCGATGAACGGTCCCTTTAAGGGCCACATATACAGTAGTATTGCAGTTGTGAAAACTGTAAATCTAGCCAAGCAACACACCACATTTCAAGCCAAACAGCTGTCCTCGTACAGCATTGTGAAGTCTGTCCTTGTAACAGCTGTGAGCATTGTACTGCCAGTCAATGGATCTGTTTGTGGCTGACAAGCTTGACAGACTCTTTAGTGTCCACAGAGCTCACAGTGTAGCGTGACCAATAACACTGAGTGAAAGCCCTGCTGAATAACAATGAAGGTCTACGAGGCAGTGAAGAACGTCACAACGTTGCAAGCTAGACTTAATAGCAACCTGCAAATGATGGGGATCTATGCATATTTTGACTCAAACACAACTCTGTGTTGCAAATCCTTTTGACACATAAAACAAACATCCCTGATGGAAATACAAGCTTAAACCAGCCTAAAGTGTTTTGCTGGTCTTATCTGGTCTCTCCACAAGTGTTCAGCTGGTCTGCTAGCCTGAGCAAGTGCCTAAAGCTATCAAACCACACCAGACTGAAGAGTTTGATGGCCAGCTAAGATTAGCAAAACATATTAGGTTGGTTTTCTTAACCAGAGATCTTAACAGAGATCTAATGAGATAATTAGATTTGAATTTCCTGAAACAAATAACAGCACTTGCACAGAGGGCAAGTGTTAAGCATCAGAGACGCTTTGTTGTTGTCATGACACTTAGAATCAGGGCTCTACGCTTGGGTTCATGTACATGGTTTATTTATTTATTAACAGTTTTTTGGTCAGAGTAATGAGATGCTAGCACTTAAAAAATTTAGGAGCACAGTCAAAAATGTAGGAGCACCTTCTAATCAATAATCCAAAATTTGATAAAAAATTAGCCTTCCCATTACAAGGTGATATTTGACTCCTTAAAGTGATTTACAGTGGAATTTTGTTTTTACCTTTGTAATGGCATTTTTCTAACTTTATTAAAAGTATGTCATCTTTTATGTCAAATTTTAAAAAATATATATATTTTATAAGCTTTTTTAAAATTATAATTAAAACCATAGAATAAGAACAAGAATAATAAGTTACTAATCACAGTCGCACTGGTGCTCCTAAATATGTTTTCATAGTCGCATGCAGTAGTTTTCAGTCGCAAATGCGACTGAAATGGTCGCACTGTAGAGCCCTGAGAATAATCGCCTATATGTTATTTTCTATCAGCTGTGCAATTCACCATGAAATAAATCCAAGAAAACATGCATACAATGACATAATCACTCGTATTATGAAATGTGAACATTCTAATGCCAAGTCAATGAGAGATTTTCTAACCTTAATCTTAAAATTATTTTAAGTGGGAAACTTTAGAAGTATCTAATGAAGTTTAAATGGAGCTGAATTAATTGCTTACTGTACAATTTTCAATTTTCTCATGTACTCACTATATATAATTTATTTATTTAAAGATCAGTGTCTCTTACTATTAATACTTGGTTCATATAATGTTAACCAAATCAAAACAGTGCCACCTTCACAGATTTTGAAAGAACTGTCCTTGGTCCTGAACACAAGCAAAGCTCAACTGGCTGTGAGCCAAACACAAAACATGTGCAATAAAATAGCAAACTCACTGAGGAATGAAGTAATGGCTACTGAAAATTCAGCTTTACCATTACAGAAATGAATTAATTAAAAAGAATACAGTTATTTTCAGTTTAATAATATTTCACAGTATTGCTGTTTTTAATGCATTTGTGATCAAATAAATGTAATCTTAGCTAACATAAGACACTTCTTTCAAAAACATTTAGAAATCTTAACTACTTCAAACTTTTGAATGGTAGTGCACACATCCACAGTAGAATTCACTTGTGTACCACCAACATTACGCTTAGTTATAAAAAAAATATATAGAATGGAATTAAATTTTAGTTTAAGCAAGAGCTGATCTGTCTCAGAGAGTCATATAAATGAACAGATATAACACATACAATACACATTTTGCCATCATTTATTGAGCCGAATGTTGTTCCAAACCTGTATGACTTCCTTCCATGGACCACAAAAGGCAAAATTACAGTCTCAGTCAACATTCAGTTTCAATGCATGGACAAAAGATGCAATCAAATACGAGTTTGGAACAACATGACGGTGAGTAAATGATGACAGACTTTTCATTTTGGGTGACCTAATAATTTAAGGATCAAATCGTCCAAATAATATTGGTTTCAACTTATTCACAAAATTCCATTAGCATTCCTTCAGGATTTTGACTAGAGTGAACAGAAAAGGAACAGCAGGGAAGACCCTCTGACACCAGATACAAGCAACCACTGAACATTAAACCCTCGACTTAGATCTTTTTTTTTATATCAGCAGCCTCTACATGCCTTTATACCTTTTATATACAAAACCCTGAAAACAGTCTAATGGAAGCATAACATCATTATCTGAAGCATAGGTGATTAGCTGCTATTCTAGCTTGTAAATTAAAAATATATGACACAATATTTCACATAAAAAACCTTTTTCTTCCTAATACATAAAGCTCGCTCGCGCACATGATGCCCAAAAATGCTGGTGTAGGTTGGCAGCTCGCTAGTATGACGGCCTCGCAAGGACACACACACACACACACACACACAATCAAATACGAGTTTGGAACAACATGACGGTGAGTAAATGATGACAGACTTTTCATTTTGGGTGACCTAATAATTTAAGGATCAAATCGTCCAAATAATATTGGTTTCAACTTATTCACAAAATTCCATTAGCATTCCTTCAGGATTTTGACTAGAGTGAACAGAAAAGGAACAGCAGGGAAGACCCTCTGACACCAGATACAAGCAACCACTGAACATTAAACCCTCGACTTAGATCTTTTTTTTTATATCAGCAGCCTCTACATGCCTTTATACCTTTTATATACAAAACCCTGAAAACAGTCTAATGGAAGCATAACATCATTATCTGAAGCATAGGTGATTAGCTGCTATTCTAGCTTGTAAATTAAAAATATATGACACAATATTTCACATAAAAAACCTTTTTCTTCCTAATACATAAAGCTCGCTCGCGCACATGATGCCCAAAAATGCTGGTGTAGGTTGGCAGCTCGCTAGTATGACGGCCTCGCAAGGACACACACACACACACACACACACACACACACGTCAGCCATGAGCATCATTCTCTGTCAATCTTCTTCACGAGGCTGCTGCTGTCTAAAGCAAATGTACAGCATGTCGAGAGACCGAGGCAAGCTTCGTGGGCTGCTTGTCCCGCATTAAGTAAATCATGGTAAAACAGCTTTATTTTGTCAGTTAAGGGACAATGCATAACAAATGCACCTGATTTATAAGCGTAACCTGCCTGAAAACAGAGCAGCTCTTCACTGCCATGAATAACTAACTCGATATCATGATAAATAAACATTGGTTTTGGTACGCATGCATTATAAGTAATTACTGAATAATTGTGTCCGGTGCAGAAAGGCAAATTAATGATACAGAAAAACTGGATGCATGTAGAGTGATGCTGCCCATCAATTTGTCATCAGTCACTTACTTCCCAACGAAGTTCTCCAAAACCGAGCTTTTCCCAGCACTTTGGCCGCCGACCACTGCGATCTGAGGAAGGTCCAGGTTGGCATTTTGTCCGATGGCAGAGAAGGCGTCCTGCAGTCTGTTTACCAGAGGAATCAAGTCATCCACTCCCCGATTGCCCATCTTGGGGGATAAATAACAGGCTCTATTTCACAGTGAATGAAAAACCGATGTAATCGACCCTGAACGGAGCCCTAATTGGCAAGCCCCGAAATATCTAAAAGCTGTCCCTTGCAGCGTTTCCTTCAATTTTCCAGGCACCTTGGCGAATCGACATACGTCCTCCTTCCCTAGGCGCTGCTCCCTGCCTGTTCACCACCGCTATGAGATCTGCTGCTGCTGGAGCGACGCGGAGATGAAGCGCTGGATGCTGCATTACCTTCACCAGCCACTGGGGGCGACGACATAATCAAACGATCGTTCTTTATTCCAATATTTGTGATGTATAAAACAAATCAAACCTAAGCAGCACTAAAATAAAACACCATAAGGCATAAAGATGTTTAGTTCATATTCCTAAAACTCGGAGGAAAATTTGTATTTTCAATCCATGATATGGGTTTGTCTTACAAAAGCGTTTTTGGATTTTAAGAGTAAAATAATGTTTATAGCTAAATTAGTTAACATTAATAGTTAACATTAGCCTACTTGAAGAGTGCGTTTTCATACCTCAAACATGAATTTGACGAATTGGAACCGTTTTTCTCTGCTAATACTGGGAATATTAAAAACTTTGACCAACGTTCTTGTTAGGGTCTCTCAAAAAGTTCTGAACAAACATTCTTCTAGAACTTTCATTCAAAGTTATCTGGTCTTTAACAACGTTCTCAAAACGCTAGCACAAAAACATTATTTCTACATAATTCATGAAGAAAAAAATTGAGTTGGACGTTTGTCTGGTTTAGAGAACATTCCAAAGCAATTCCTATAATTTTTGCAAAATAATGAAATTGAACTTTCCATTTAATGTTATGTTCGACATTCATATAACCAAGAAAATCCCCCTTTTTGAACCATTTAAAACCTTTTTGAATGCTCAGAGAAAATTCAGAAATAACGTTTTCATGACTTGATGGGAATGTTAGCAAAACGTGCTTAGCACATATTTTTGTTAGATGGATAGTCCTTACAATGTAGCTACTAATAAATAGTGTTAAATAAATAAGATCTATCTAATGAATTAGTAGTATTAAAAAAAAAAGTAGTACCGAATTGGACAGCTGTTTTAGTCCTTATGTAGCTTGTAACTTGTTACAAAACCTTAGCAGGTTTTAAGGAAATAAATGTTAAAACGACTTACCTTACATGTTGGAGTTTATTGTGATAGTGCTGACTGTGTGCTATCCCTGACTTAATTGTCTGTGTTGAACTTTAATGCAAAGGTTTTCAGTACACATACAATAATTTGTAATTTTGTATTTTTGCAAAAAGTCATTTTCCTGAGAATGTAATGCTTCTTCCGAGCCGAGTGAGGGCGCAGAACTGAGCACGGCCGAGGAATTCCGGGCGGTGGCAACACTGGGGTGTGACTGAGGTGGCGATGGAAGGAAGTTGCGTAGATTCGGGAAGTGATCCGGAGACGGATGGAATGGATGGCGGGGAATTAGAAAGTACTGAAAATAGTAATCGGACTTTAGTGGAAAATCGTGGTCCTTGGTCCACACTCCAGTATAGTAGGTGGCGGTAATGCACCTTAACGTTGGATGCCACCCGCCATAAAACAAGTCTGTCCTCAGAGTCTGTCCTCTTCCTGTTGTAAACACGTCGCTTGGGTGGTGGCGTGTCTGACAGTTATAAATAAATCAGAACAACTTATTTTTCATTTTTGAAAAACATTTTTTTGCACACAGTGTATCGCTAAGAATGAAGAAGTTTTTCGACGACTTCAAGAAGGATATAAAATTCAAGTCCGCAGGGCCAGGAAAGAAACTTACAGATGACGGCAGGTAACAGTTCAAAGATCAGATGTTCTTGAGACTGTCATGACAACCACACTTCTACATTAAGC